ACCGCCGTTAATTCTCACTACAGATGATTCCTTTTATTAGATCAGTATACTCGTAACTAACAAGATATATTTCAAGACGAAGAACTAAACTACTCTGCAAGCATATGAACGAATGTCCTGACCGAGATTTTCTTGATGTCCCCGACCGTATAGCGTTGTCATCCTAGTCCTGTGGCTAAAAGCTATACCTCACTGGAGTGACATATGTATCTACTTACTCGTTTTATTCGACAGCCTACTTTTATTCACCAAGGTTGAAGTGATTAACTACAGACATACCTGATAAAGTACGCTGAACCCCTACCATCACCATAACTAAACGAGTGACCTACGTGACGGACAGCTTAGCAGTCTACGGGTAAGCAACCGTCAACCCGGCGCATGCTTATTGATCTTACGCTTATGCGAACACCCCCCCCCCTTGTCATCCCACCCACACAGTTAAGTACCAGTAACTTGATAAGTCCACGCGGGCACATTGGCTCAACTATGACCTCGAGTCCTATCTCTATTTTTCTTGCTTCCTCACATAACACATTTTCGGCGCGATGGGCGGCACGTGGGCACAGATGCTCCCCGGCACCGCCGAGTTCACCGACAGTAACCTCGATTCCCAGGCCGGCAAGGTCTTCATCGTGACCGGTGGAAATGCAGGAATCGGTCTGGAGCTGGTCAAGATGCTGTACGGCGCCGGCGCCACGGTCTACATGGCCGGACGTTCACCCAGCAAGATCGCAGCGGAGATCGAGAACATTACTGCCCAGCCAAGCGAAACGCCCGGTGTGCTGAAGAGCCTGCACGTCGACCTGGGCGATCTGACCACCATCGCAAAGGCCGTCTCGACATTCCTGCAGCAGGAGTCGCGGCTCGATGTCCTCTGGAACAATGCCGGCATAGCCCATGTGCCGGCGGGCAGCACATCTGCTCAAGGCTACGAGGCGCACATGGGAACCAACTGCCTGGGACCATATCTATTCACGAAGCTGCTGACGCCCATTCTGGTCAAGACGGCGGAGAGCGCATCGCCCGGCGCCGTCCGCGTCGTCTGGGCCACATCGAGTATCGTTGACATGGCAGGCCCGCCTGGCGGTCTGCAACTCGCCGAACAAGCTCCTGGCAAGCACAACCAGGACAAGGCGCACAACTACAGCGCCTCCAAAGCGGGTAACTGGTTTCTGGCCTCGGAGCTGCATAAGCGCACTGCGCGCGCTGGCATCACAAGTGTGGCGGTCAACCCCGGCAATCTGAGGACGAAGGGATGGGACGGGGTCCCGTTCATGGTGCGCACGTTGTTGTCGCCTTTCCTGCACGGCCCCGAGAAGGGCGCATACACGTACCTGTGGGCCGGGCTCAGCCCTGCGGTCAAGGTGGAAGATGGCGGCCGGTTTGTGATTCCCTGGGGCCGCTGGCACCCGGACCCCCGTGCAGACTGCCTGGAGAGCTTGAAAGACAAGGATGAGGGTGGCAGCGGCCTTGCTGCTGAGTTCTGGGATTGGTGTGATGAGCAGACTCGGCAGTATGCTAGATCTGGGGAAGGGGGTAAATCAAGTCTGTAGTGCTTGATGTTGAACATGGCAGCAACGCCGTATATGTTATTTAATACACAGCATTTATTAAGCTAATTTGCGATATAGTATAGAGACACAGACAGAACAAGGCTAGGGATAGCCTATGATACATTTCTGAGCAGATTGATCTTGAATTGAATGACTTTGGAAGCTTTTAAGACAGAACTATAAGCGTGGAGTTTTGTTAACCACTTCTACGGGTAAGGTAGATACGGTTTGCCCCTAAATGTGTTGAAATTTATGAGATAAAGCAGTTAAATATAGGGAATTTATTTGCCCCCCCCCCAGTTTACGATAGAACCTTATGATTCTTGGGGGATGAGCGATCACAGAGAGGCCATGTAGTATGAATTGAAAACGTTTAAGTTTATAGAAAATTACAAGGGCCAGGCGCTGGAGACATAATATGGCTAACCTTCATGGTGCGTTGGAAATCTGATAGTTAAATAGTTGAGGGCTGCCTATCGAGTCAGGGCTAGTTTTACAAACCCGTTTTCTTCAGAAAGGTAGATATTGACCCGCGAACTGTTCCAAAGCTTGTAAAGAGCGGTAGTCAACCCTGTAAGTCCATGTCTGGCTGCAAACATCACGATTCTTTCTAAACGAGGAAGAAGCACAGTCTCTAGCCAGCTAATGTTGAAAGCATTACATTCATGATCACACGCAGCAACTTCTAAGCATCCACTGGGCCAACCTCCCGCAGACGCACGTAGCAGCTTCGTGGCTCATGCGTCATGTATAGGTTTGATTTGTACCCCGAAAGCGCCGGAGGACACTTCAAGAGCTCAAAGTTCCATATCATCACGGTCAGGAAAATCTTAATCTCAACATATGCCAGTCTCTTCCCATAGCATCCGCGCGTGCCCAGTCCGAAGGCGAGCTGGGGTCCCGCCGTCGCATCGAACGTTGTGCCCTTTTCACCTGTTGCGAGCCAGCGCTCGGGCTTGAAGCTTGATATGTCGCTGGGATCCCATGCCCGGTCGTGCCCGTTTTTCTTGGCCGACTGACTAGACGCTGAGCGCCGGGCCTCATCCACCTGAAAGGCAGGACGCATCATGGAAGCGCCGGTCACCAGAGTGGTGACGCTGGTGCCCTTGGGAATGCCATAGCCGAGGAGCTGGGTATCGACCATGGCCTGCCGATCGACAAACGAAGCGGCACCCGCACAGCGCAAGATTTCCTCCATCGTTGCCTCGAGATAGGGGACCCGCGCGCCGGTGATCTCTTCAATTGTCGGTTCGCGGGCTTGCTCCTTTGCCGTGGCAAACGATGTCCAGAGCGCCTCACGCAGCCTATCCTGGGTGTCTCTATTGTCGGCCAGGAATTTCAGACCCCAGCAGAGCGCGGTGCTGGTCGTTTCGTGGCCTGCGAAGATGAACCCAAAGAGCTGCACGGTTGTCAGTTCCAGCTCGCTGGATTCTCCAGAGGGGGCAATATACCTCGTCAATCATCACGCCTGAGAAGTACTCGGGCGAGCGTCCGTCCTTTTCAGCCAAATCTTTCTCGTTAAGAATCATTCGGTCGACTGCAGAGCGCAGTTTTACATCCTGGTCGTTGCCGTTTTGGAAACGCTTGACGGCGTCCTGGAGCTCTCGCTTGAGACAGTCGTCTTTGCTCTTGGCCGCTTTCTTGATCTTGGGCTTGCGCATCACATACGCCCATGTCAGTCGCGGCGACGGGTTGCCTTGTACTTCGCCAATCGTATGTGTCAGGTCCAGGATGGACTGCAGAAGCTGGTCTTTCTGGCCCTTGGCGAAAACGATTGGTTCATCCTTGCTGGCGGGGAGGTTGTAGTCCTGCGCCTTGACTGCGTCAAGATCAGGCTGTACAGCACTGTGCTGAAAGCCGGCGCCGAATGCAAAGGCGCTAATGGCATCGAGCGACATGTGGTTGAGGTCGGCGTTGGCCACCCAAGGGTGTCCACGAGCGGCGCGCGCTTTGACACGCCAGAGCTCCATGAGCAAGTTGACTTTCTTCAGAATGGCAGGGGCGGCGACGTCGTGCAGGAAAGTGGGCGTCATAAGGTCCTGGATGAGACGACGCTGGGCCTTAAACGTGTCATTCGTCTTTTGGCGGATGTGGTGGTTTGGCGCGACGCCCAGGAACAGGTCGCCCACGACGTCTGATCGATCAAATTCTTTCCGGCGGGTCATCAGGTCGTGGGCCTCGCGGAAATCGGCCAGAATGACGAGTGGCTTGCCAAAGGGCCGGATGAAGACCTGGATGATGGGCGAGTTGAGCGAGTCCATGAGGTCGGTCACATAGGTGATAAAGGTGCCCTCGCTCTTCTTGATGTTCGCAAGCATGGCTGGCACATTGCCGAGCAGCCTATGCGATGAGGCGACATCGTATGGGATGCCGGGGATGGGCTTGGGTAGCGCGGCGCGGTAGAGAGCATATACGGCGACAATGATGGCAGCGACGACCAGGCTGGCCGTCGTGCCTGGCATGGCAAAGGACAGCATCGCTGTAGAGAGGATGTCAAAAGCGATGCGTAATGGGTCTGGGTCGGTTGAGCGAGAGCAAGAATTGAAATGCAGCCGGTATCAGGAATGGCACCCACTCGCCAACTGTCTGACTGAAAACGTCTTGCTCTCCATGACAGCTCGTAGTGCATCAGTATGTCACTGCGCGTCAGGTACTCCGCACACTGAGCCGGCTGTAGAAACAGGTGACAGGCTTTCGCGTAAGGCACGATAATGAGAGTAAGGAGCTGATCGAGTCAGCAATGACAGGGTGCTGACTGCATGCTGACCTGCATGATGACCCGCATTAAATACGAACCTGTACGCTGACCATATGTAGCCGACATGCTGGAAGGTAACCAAGCTTATTTTAAGTGACACCTTCTTATCTCACTTGTCATGTTACATAGATTAAATCCATCCTACTGCGTGGCTGAACGTGTTGTGTGTGTGGATCGTCCCGCTAGCCGGCGCATTTATCCTTGGAAGAATGATCTCAGCGACTCCAGACTCATCAACACTATCGTGAACGGCTTGATGCAGACAGCTGACACGACAGATCCCTGGAGACGTTGAAATTCTGCTTGACAACTCGTATTCATAGCCATACTATAGACGAGCAGTAGGAGGACGTCGATACTAGGACCGTACCGCTAAGCTCATAGCCTTCTGACCTAAGCAATTTCTTACTCTTAGTCTGATGGATTCGTTATGAATGTCAGCATAAGCAGAAATATAATGAAATAATGACAGGGCTCGTTTCTTCCTTCCTACAGTGTTGCGTACAGCCCTTGACTGAGCGATCCTTTTGCGTCTTCGCGCGTAGCTTGCCATGCTCTCTCAACCCTACAGGGTCGCCTTCTGGGCTTTTTCCCTAACCACGCTTTTCGCAGCTGCCATTTCCCAGTTTGCCATAGGCAATATTGGATTAGATGCCAGCGCTGCCCATAGCAATGCTTGCCGTAACATGCCCGGCGATCGCAATTGGCCGAACCACGACACATGGAGTGAGCTCAATCGTACCGTCGGTGGCAGGCTCATGCGCGGCCAGCCACTGGCCCAGGCTTGCCATGGAGCCACCTTGAATGCAGGAGCCTGTGTAGCTCTCCAGGACACATACAATTTCCCAGAGCTATAGTGAGTTCACACAGTCTTACTCGCGCCGGGGCTAACCATGAGACCATTAGTGTCACCGACCCTGTCAATGTCATGTCGCCCTACTGGCTCAACAATTCATGCAGCCCCTATGCCCCATACGCCAGTGCCGGCGGCTCCGGTACCTGCACGCTTGGCAATCTCGCCCAGTATACCATTCGGGTCACGGGCGCCGACGACGTCGTGGCTGGCATCAACTTTGCCCGGCAACACAACATACGCCTCACCATCAAGAACACCGGCCATGACGTGCAAGGACGCTCTACCGGCGCGGGCTCCCTGGGTCTTTGGATGCACAACCTCAAGGACATCTCCTTCATCGACTATTCCAGTCCAAAATATCACGGCAAAGCCGCCCGCATTGGCGCCGGCATCGAGGTCGGGGAAGCTTACGAAGCTGCGCACAAAAACGGCCTGACCATCACCGGCGGCACTTGCCCATCTGTCGGCGTCGCTGGAGGCTGGTTCCCCGGCGGCGGCCATGGGCCCCTCTCAAGCATATACGGCCTGGGCGCCGACACCACGCTCGAGTTCGAGGTCGTGACCGCCGATGGCACAGTCGTCACCGCTACGCCCGACAACGAGCACTCGGACCTGTACTGGGCGCTGAGCGGCGGCGGTCCCGGCAACTACGGTGTCGTGCTATCCATCACGGCCAAGGCATGGCCAGACCAGTCCTTTGCTGGAGCCGCGTTCACATTCGTCAACACTAACGACGACACCTACTGGCAGGCGATCCGGGCATGGATGAAGGCGCTGCTCGCGCTCAACCAGATCCCAGGCCTCTCCACGGCATCCGGCTTCAACAGCCAAGGCTTCACCATGAATTTCGCCACGCTTCCCGGCGGTACGCAGGAGAGTCTGAACGCGGCGCTAGCACCCTACATGAAAGAGCTCCAGGGCCTGGACATCCTGATGGTAGCAAACACCACGACGGTGCACCCCAACTTCCTGGACCACTTCAACGCCTTCGCCGAATCGCCTCCCATCAACATCACCATGGCCGCGCGCATGATTCCTGCGTCACTAGTGCACGACGACGCAAAGCTCGACACGCTCGTCTCCACCATGCGCGCCCTGACAGACGAGCAGGGCGTCTTTGCCCTCGTCTCCAACAACGTGTCCCTGGCCCGCGTCGGCGTCGCACCCGGGACCAATTCCGTACTGCCGGCGTGGCGCGACACGCTCTTCCTGGCCAACTTCGGGCGATACGTTGCCAACGGCCAGTCCTGGGCCGACCTGAGCGCTGACCAGACCCGCGTCAACAATTGGCAGACTTTGTTCCGCGATCTGACGCCTGGTGGCGGTGCATATGGTAACGAGGCCACGTTCAACGATGCATCCTGGAAGGAGGACTACTTTGGCGCCAATTACGACCGTTTGCTTGCCATTAAGCGTGCATATGACCCTGAGGGCCTTTTCTGGGCTAACACTGCCGTCGGGAGCGATGCTAATTGGGTCGCGCAGCCTGATGGTCGGTTGTGTAGGCCCTAGGTAGGGGTGTGTTGAATGTTCTTATGTCTGTGTTGTTCAAATAGAGGAGGGCTTTTTTACTCCCTCTCGGATGCTGAAGATTGGAGTGGAGCATGAAGTGTGGCGTTTTGCATTGTGATATCTATGATATACATCTCCTAGGTTATAGGGCTAGCAGCGCTCGGTTGTTGGCAAAAGATTTATGATTTTATGATTCATTTTATTTCACCATCCCATATCGATATAATAGAATAGAAATTTAAAGCACGCACCGGTTCGAAGCGGACAAGCAACGAAACCGTGACCTGTTGGGATGTAGAATTCCTGCCTAAGGATGTACACTTGACCTGAAGAATACGTCCTATGTAGCAATGCGATATTGCAGTGCGATGGGACATGAATAGAATGACACTGATTGAAGACATAGGCAGTAGTCCAGACTATCTTCTGGGCGGAATCATAACTATGTCCTGGGCTGGTCGTAGCTTCTGTGCTGAGTACTCGTCGTCGAGGTTCTTGTAGAAGAGTATATTAGGGTTCTGCTCCTGCTATAGCCGTGGCATCCCTGAAAGGTATGATATTATATCAGATATCTACTAGACAGGTTACAGCAGCGATAGATGGCATAGGATCTGATCTTTCAGGAAGATAAATAGTCATTATTCTTCCTGTACGAAAGAGGTGTCATGCAAACCCTGACAGCACGCGTTTATATCTCGAGCAACCTCATCCATTGAGGAGTAATCCCCCTTCCAACAACGTAAAATAACGCCACCAAGTACAAGCGTATCCACACTCGGGTATTCCCCTATAGTAAAAAGATGCTCTACCCGTTTTATTAATCTCCCAGCGCTAAGAGTCTTTTCCAATTCGTGGTAAGGCTTCTCGCCCGTCTCGATTTCAAACAGCGTGGAACCAAAGGCGAAGATCTCAGTTTTGATATCAGGATCAGATCCAGGCCGATAGCTACACCATTCATAGCACACCATTGCCACTTCCCCGTCGATCCCAGAGCCAGAAAAGTCAATAAACTGTATACGGCCCGCCTGATCTAAAACTAAATTGTGACAGCCCACATCCGCGTGGATAATATTCTTAGTGTGTATGTAGCGCAAACCCTCTGCAGCCTCTAGGGCCCAACGGAGCCTTGTCTGCATTGCCGTCTGCGACTCCTGGATCTTCTTGCGCAGACATTCACCTCGCTCGAGGACTATTCCATCCTCTGTAATTTCCCGGATACTTGCGATGCGAGGATGATTGCCTAACCGTTCGTAAGCGCGGACTTCAATGTTGTATGCTTGATAAGCGAAATTGTCTGTAGGCCTGGGGCGGCGTTTTATGACTGAATCGCTATTGATTGCATAAACTGGACTTATTGTGCCCACGGCAATCAATGAGTACTGAGGATTTCTGGCGGAGAAGTTGGATTCAACAGGGGGTCCAACCATTTTGCTAGGGAAGAGAAAGAAAGATATTGCTAGACGGAAGAAGTCCAGAGCTGGAAAGGGGATGGATTGGTCTCTTGGAAATGATTGAGGTTGTACAAAGTTAGCCCTTACTTCGAATGGGCTTAGCCGAATCTGTTATACATGTAAGGAGCTCCCAATGATATCTAGAGAAATTAAAAATATATTCATAGAGATCTCGATTCTATTGATTTATGGATGGAAGGTTTGTTCAATTTTGCAACTGCAGCGTTGTGTTATACTATCATGACTGTCATCTTGATTTCAAGTTGGACATATAAACCATACAGAAGCAATTGTTTACTCGTAGGGTTACCGATCCTTTAGTTGCGGATTTTGACCTGCAGACCCTTGCTGCCCTTGGCGGGGATCGGGATAATGTAGTCTGCATTCACATCAATGTCCCTCGATCGGTACGTGTCGTAGAGTTCCAGCGTGGGCCCCGGCTGGCCGCGATAGAGGTCGTATTTCGTGAAGAGTGTCGCCAACGTCATCGCCATTTCGCGACGAGCAAGCGTCATGCTACAAAGCCCGCCGGTTAGTAACTCGTCCGGGGGGAAAAGGAAAACAGAAGCCGGGAATCAACTTACCCAACACAGCCTCGCGTGCCGCGGGAGAAGCCAAGGAAGTACTTGGAGAGCTTGGGCTGCTCGATCCAGCGCTGTGGACGGAACGCGTACGGATCAGCACCAAAGGCCTTCGGATTCATGTGCGTTTCCAGCGGCGACATGCTGTAGATGGTGTTCGGCGGGATGACGTATTGCTTGCCGTCGACCGGGTTGTCGTACACGATCGGGACGTCGGGGTTCATTCGTACTTGGCGGTTCATCACGCCGGGGTGCAGACGCACGCTCTCGGAAATGATCGCGCCCAGATACGGCAGGCTGTCGACTTGGGCAACGGAGATGTTGGTCGGATCCGGTATGGCCTCGCTGAGCTCTTTCTTCAGTTTGGCGAGCTCTTCCGGGTTCGCGAGCAGATGGAACACGGCGCACATCAGCGCGTGGGCTATTCATGTGAAGTTAGTTGTGGACGACAGACTTGGGGTGATGTGACTGACCAGTGGTTCCCTCGCCCGCAAAGACAATCAGCTGGGCTTCGCTGGCTAATCGAATGTCGGTCTTCTCCTCCGCCGGCAGAGAGCTGTTCAGGATGCCTTCGAACACGGTGCTCTTGACTCGCTCTGGGTTTTTGGAGGCTCGGATTTCGCGGACCTTGTGAATCCACCACTGCAGAGGCATGTTAGTCTGTGAGGGCAGTGTGTGGGAGCACAAGCGAGGTCACTTACGTCTTGCCGCTCGCGCAGGGCAGTCAAGACGGGGAAACAGAGCCGTACGAGCCAGACGGGCGCATTTTGGGCATATTGCACGAGCCATGGGACCAGGCCAAAGATATGCGTGAGGTAGAAGAACCACTCGGTGGATTCTTGGAAGTCTTTGCCATAGTCAGGAGAGTCCATATAGCCCATGTTGTCGCCAAAGGCATAGAGAGTGATGATATCGCTTGCGCAAGCCTTGAACACGCGGTGGAGTTCAACGATTTCTTCAGCCTTGCCAGACGTTTCCAGGCGCGTCATCATCTTCTGCATGTAAGTCTTCAAGATGGGCTCGAGGCGGCGAACACTAGCGACAGAGAAAAAGGAGTTGAGAGCATTGCGCCGGCGACGGTGCAGGTCATGGCTTGGGGTGGACACGATAGAGTAAGGGGCTGGTAAACAAGCGTAGGTCAGTGGCGTCCCCGGCAGGCAGATATTGTCAAGACATACTGCCCGTTCTTTGAGCGACCCATACAGGCTTATCCGTCTTCCTTAAAGTGGTCGGATAGGCCTGGTCGATAAACTCGGGGTCGTTCCAGTGGACTTCATGCGGGCTGACACGGATGAGAGGTCCTTTCGACCTGACGCGTTAGTCCCATTGTCTGCAGGTGGAAGAACCGAGGACGAGCATACCGTACTGTTCGTGTAGTTTTGCAACGTGGTTGTAATACTGCCCTCCTTTGACGATTTCAAAGTAGGACTCGTATAGGAACGTCAAGGCTATGAGCGGTGATTAGATTCTTGCATTTGATGGATGGGCGAGAAAAGGTACCAGCTAGCTTGGGTCCTGGAATTTTGGCCAATGCTAGGGGTGAGAAATAGACTGGTGGCCAACTGGTTAGCTTTTCGTGGGCAAGTATCACAGACACTATCAAGTCATACGCCGATAGATACTCGTGCTAATGGTGTGGACGATGAAAATGGCAACCAGCACGAAGAGGACTTTGCGCTGCCAGCTTTGCTCGGGGTCGGCTAAGGTCGCAATGTTAGACCCAGCATCTGTCCACAACCGCTGGAAGGCTGGCTCCAGGTTGGGCGCTGACCAGTTGAGGATGGAGTCCATGATGAGGTGCAGAGCACAGTGGGGTGGGCAGTGGGCACGCGACGGCGCGAGGACGACTAATATATGTCAAACTCCCAAGATATTAATAGCTCAAGTGCATTTAGCGCAATGTATAACACGAGCGGTATACTCAATGGGCTGTGTTTCGACGAGCGCTGACTCTGATGGTCGAGTGTCATGGTTCGCGTAAGGGCGAGGCAATTGATAACAGCCGGATTACCGCCGGCTGACGGCAAACGGTAAGCATGCAGCTCCAGAATGGATAAGCAAAAATTCTGCATAATACGCTGTATCATACTATGTATAATACTCGGTATAGCACTCGGTATAATACTCGAGTGCATCAGAGCCGCGGTGCTTCAGGTTTCCCTCAGTTTGCGAGTCCCATCCACAATGGCCTCTTACTATGCGAACCTGACCACGATGGTCCAGCATGCCTGGAGCCAAGGTGATGTTGCAACCTACGTGCAACAAATTCGAGAGAATCCACAAGCATTGGTATGGCTGCTGGTCGCCGCCTATGCTACGTACTGGGCTTTTACTATCATCTACAACCTCACTCTCCATCCACTGGCGCATTTCCCGGGCCCGTTCTTGTGCCGCATCAGCAATCTACCGCAATGCTACTACGAGGCAATTCTGAATGGGCAATTCATGCCGGAAATCGATAAGTATCATGAGAAATACGGTCGATCTGCCCGGTCCCGTACGCGGTAGAGCGCCGACTGACTGACTAGCCTTATCCAGGCCCGGTCGTTCGAATCAACCCAAATGAGGTCCATATCAAAGACTCTTCTATGTATCACGCGTATGTAAGCCTGGGAAGCCGTTGAGAAATTCGAACAGATACTAACGCACCAGCTAGTGTCTATAAGAACCCGGCTTTCACAAAAGACCCGGGCTCTTACGCTCTTGGCGTGTCTCAGGGCATGGCGTTTACCATATCAATTGACCAACACAAAGAGAAGAGAAAGACCCTGAATCCCTGCTTCTCTAAGCTTTGCATCAGCAACATGGAGGACACGTTGTATGATGAATATGACAAGGTCTTCTCGAAAATCAAGGAATATGAACGCAAAGGCGAACAGGTCCCCATTGCAGAGCTCTTGTATTGCTACACAGTGAGTCAGCGCATACTCGAGAACCTAAACGAACATGAGCTCAATCACAATAGGCCGATATAATCTCCAGCCATTTCCTCGGGAAGAATCTCGACCTCATTGCGGCCCCCAACTTCATCGAACGGTCGGCAGAGATGCAATCTTTCACCAAGGGTATCTGGATGGCAGTCCACTTTTCCTTCATCCGCTACATTCTGGTTGCTACGCCGCGGTGGATGTTAGCGTACCTCAGTGGCACTTTTGTCGATGTGATCTGGGTAAGTCACTCTACGTTTGAACTTTAGATTGTGGCTAATCGCAAGAACGCCAGTTTGTCGAACGTGCTGCGCAGGCTGCCATTAAGACGTTCGACCTCGACAAGGCTCTGCAAAAGAAGGCGTACGAAGAGACCATCTTCGACCGCATGCTCAGCGAAAACGCTAGACGTGAAGAAAAGGGCCGAAAGGTTAGGCCGCTCCATTTCCGAGAGCTTGCAGATGAGGGCACCGGTATCCTCAACGCAGGCACTGAGCCGAGTGCGATCATGCTTTGCTATGCAACCTACTTCTTCTCCCGTTTCCCTCACGTACAGAAGCCTCTCCTCGAGGAGCTTGCTTCCGTCGAGCGCCAAAATGGAAGACTACCGCTGCGCAAGCTGGAGGCATTGCCATATTTGGTGAGTGTCTTGGTGCCCATGTCGATTCGAGAAAAGCGCTAATCCTTTGCCATGCAGACTGGCTTTATTAAGGAAAGCCTGAGATACATGCCACTGATTCCGGGCCGGTTGCCTCGCGTCGTGCCCAAGGGAGGTCTCTACGTACCCGCTGTAAATAAGACCATTCCTGAAGGCTGTGTTGTCGGCCTGAGTCAGTTGCACATCTCCTTCGACCCAGAAGTTTTCCCGAGCCCGTACGAGTTCAGGCCCGAGCGCTGGTTTGCCGAGTCAGGCAAGGACCTTGACCATTGGGTGCTTGCATTCTCGAAAGGTCGAACTGACTGCATCGGCAAGACGTGAGTGATTCCCCTTGTACCAGATGGGGCTTTCTGGGAAGCTGACATCAGTAATAGCCTTGCGTACGCGGAGATGTACTTGGTTCTCGCCAACTTGTTCACGAGTTTCGACATGACGTTAGCCCCTGGAAGCCGTGAGGGCATGGAGTGGGATGATCGTGTCGTCGCGCATTCCAAGCAAAACTTGCGCATCCTCGTCAAGTCGAGGACGGCGTAAAGAGCTCTATCGTGCGGACGCCTGAAAGGACTAGCTGAGGGGGACACATATGCTAGCATTTCACGTGATGATCACATGACAGCGGGAGTGTATTACATTAAAATCAGTAGACACAAGTTAGAACCAGAACACTACTTACGATTTATCCTCGATGAACCATTCACATTCTCGCTATCTACTTTAACAGTACATTGCTCTCTTAATGTTCCAGACATGTTTGATGGCTTCTAAGTCGAAACGATGCAGTGTTAACTGTCGGTCCGACTGTCGATTCACCAGATTATTAGTTTGTTTGACATAGTAGTGCGACCACGTTGCCGGCCAAAATCACATATGACAATGCAGTTAATAGGGTCTGAATTTTATCCAAATTTTATACGTTCTACGAGAATGGCCTTTGTTCTGATAACGTCTAAAAATCATGTTTCTGCTCTATGAACACTAATTACGTTGATCACATTAAGCAATTCTAAGCAAGAACAATCCGCCAATGGATGTTGTTGACTGAGCATGCAAAAAGTTATTCATTCATTCACTCCAGCGTGCCTCCGAGAGCCGCCTCAAGGAACTCAAGAGTCGCCACCACCATTTCAGTTGATCCGTCCCCAGTGGCAATGTTCAAGTGGCCTTTGCCCTTTGCGAAATACTCCCGCTTAGGGCTTTGCACCCTCGACAGAGCCTCCCTTTGTTCCGATATGGGTGATATGTCATCTAGTTCAGGAATTATCATCATTAGCGGTGCTTTAATCATGTCCATGTACTCCATTGGACGGAACATGGCCAGCTTTTGGTAGGTTTGGAGCGTGAGGCGGTCACGAAAGTCAGGATGACCTAATTCGGATGCGGCCTTCATCAGATTGTACGCCTCGATGCCACCAGGGCCTCCAGCGCCCCCCATGCCGATTGGATTGTCTCCCTGGGGCGTGAATGGGGTTATTGAGAGGGGCTCATTTTTCCTCAGCTGCGACACACGATCTTTCATGAGCAGCGCATAGGCCTTGTCTGCTTTATGTGGCTGCACATAACTGAACAAAGGGCAAACCATGACGACTGCTTTGGGACGGCGGTCAACAGCAGCAGAGCAGGCGCTCACTACTCCACCGAATGACATGCCCCAGAGCACTATGCGACGCGCATCGACGCTTTTCAGCTCTGAGACAAAGGTGTAAATGTCTGTATGATCGGTCAGCTCTGGACTTGTTCTCCTAGGAGCGTTTGCGCCGCAGCACCGACCAGATAGATCTTCAGCCATTTGAAGAGGGTCGAGGAGATTACGTGGCGATCCACCACTGGCTCCAACGCTGCGAGCATCGTATAGAAAGACGTTGTAGCCTCGCTTGTGGAACGCTTCAGCAACCTCTGGAAGGGTCATCTCTTTGACGCAATTGAACTGTTGGAAACGGTGAGTTTACTCTGCTAAAGCGGAGTGCAACAATTGCCCACATACGCCGTGTGACATGATGATAGCCGGTGCGGGACCATCATCGACTGTGTACAGCCAACCTGCAATTGATGTGCCATCAATTGTCTTGCACTCGACTTGACGATGTGGTGAGAAATGCGGCATGACGGCGACAGGCTTCAGGATGGCAGACAAACGGTTGAGATGTCGCGACAATGTTGCTATGAACGGGGTCCATACTTAGGTAATTTGCGGCTCTGAGATAGCCTCGTGGATGACAAGGAAGTCGTTCACATAAGCGTAATATATAAGCGTGCGCCGGGTAATCAGAATGCTTACAGGATCGTGCCAAACATGATCCGTGGGGGCCAGCGTTACGGTAAGACTAATGGAGTCAGCACCAAACTCCGCTAGTGTCGCTAATCGGCCATCCTTCGTATTATGGAACCCGCAGAGTATGCGCCTATCCAGCAAGTCGCCGTCATATAGCACTCGTAAGCCAAACATCTGGATAGCTCTTATCTTCCTCCAGCAGCATATCAGGCCGCCCCTACAATATCTAAATAACGACTGGGCCGAACTACCTTTGCACCTCATTATCCTCAGATAAAACTGCGGCCTCACTCATTCTTTCTCTCCTGGCCCAAGACTTGCCCTTTCCTTCTCTATCATCTTCATAAAGTGGCCATCTTTCTAGACTCTGAGACCACAGCATCGCAAGCACGACCACAGCTTGTTTGTACATACCGTCCATCTGTTTCCCTTAATCGATCCTTTTGCAGACACAATGGACAGCGCCCAGTTTAAACAGGAGCCCATGGCTGTCGTGGGCTTTGCCTGCCGACTTCCTGGTGGCAACCACTCCCCCTCAAAGCTGTGGGACTTCCTAGAGAGAGGTGGTGTCGCCTCCAATGAGGTCCCAGAGACTCGCTTCAACATCAAGGGTCATTATGATGGCTCTCACAAGCCGGGAACCATGCGGCCCAAGGGTGGCATGTTCATTGGCGACGTTGATCTCGCCGACTTTGATGCCTCGTTCTTCGAGATCGGTGGTACCGAGGCCATTGCCATGGATCCCAACCAGCGCCAGATGCTCGAGGTTGTCTTCGAGGGCCTCGAGAACGCCGGTATTCCCCTAGAGAAGGTCGACGGCGCGCCTGTTGCGTGCTTTGTCGGCTCGTATGCGTCAGGTAAGCTCAACTATCAATGACCACCAGTTGTTCATAGAGACCTAACCCGGCGCCTCCAGACTACGGCGACATGCAGAACAGAGACGCCGAGGACCGACCAGCAAACTGCGCCATTGGTGTCGGACGTAGCATCATGGCCAATCGTCTCAGTTATTTCCTCAACGCCAAGGGCCCGAGTATCACCATTGACACGGCGTGTTCCGGCAGTTTGGTTGCCCTCGACCTGGCATGCCGCTCCATCCAGTCAGGCGAGGCTTCCACGGCCATCATCGCCACGAGCAACTTCTACCTCAATCCTGATCACGTCATGGATATTGGCAACGTCGGTCAGGCACACTCCCCCACTGCATTGTGCCACACCTTCGACATGGATGCCGATGGATATGTCAAGGCCGAAGCAGTGAGCTGTGTCATCATCAAAAAGCTCTCGGACGCCATTCGAGACCGTGATCCGATCCGCGCAATTGTTCGAGGCACGGCTTCAAACAGGTATGTACTCTCCTCTATTCACTAGACCCCGCTTCCCCCCCTCTTAGAAAAAATGATTAGACATGCCTAACACAAGAGTCTCGCAGTAACGGACGGACAGGCGGTATTGCCAGCCCCAGTTCTGAGGCGCAAGCTGCGGCCATTCGGCGAGCGTATGCTAACGCTGGCATCTCAAACTTCAACGATACTGCCTACCTTGAATGCCACGGCACTGGCACGCAGGCAGGCGACCCGACTGAGGTCAATGGCGCTGGGTCAGTTTTTGGAGCCTCACGCTCGGCAGAGCGACCTCTACTCATTGGTTCCATTAAGAGCAACGTTGGTCACTCAGAGCCAGCTGCTGGTAACTCTGGCCTGATCAAGGCTATCATGGCCATTGAAAAGGGAGTCATCCCCGGCACGCCTCTCTTCATCAAGCCGAGTCCAAAAATTGACTTTGTTGGTAACAAAGTCAAGGCCTTCCGCACAGCGGTGGCGTGGCCAGACAAGGACTTCCCTTTTCGCCGGGCCAGCATCAACTCATTCGGCTATGGCGGCTCCAACGCGCATGCAATCATTGAACAGCCTGAGGAATCTGCACGAGATCACCATGTGTCGTCTTACAGAAATCCGGATGACTATGACGATGCAGAGGAGAGCGAGCGCCCCTATACTCTGTTCGTATCGGCAAACGATGCTCAGTCTTTGAAAAGCAATATTGAAGCCCTCTGCAACCATCTCGTCAACCCCCGAGTCAAGGTTAGCCTTGCTGACTTGGCCTATACGCTCACGGAACGCCGTACACGACTCTGGCACCGTGCCTTTATCACCACTCACAGCACTGAAATCCAAGAAAACGATTTTACGGTCGGCAAGCGAGGTTCGAATCCGCCAAAGGTCTCCTTCGTCTTCACGGGACAAGGTGCGCAATGGCCCCAGATGGGTAAGGACTTGCTCAACTACTTTCCATGGACTCGCTCGATCCTTGAGGAGCTCGATGGAGTACTCCAGGCCCAGCCCAACCCCCCATCATGGTCTCTTGTGGAAGAGTTGACCGAGTCCCGGTCAGCGGAGCACCTGCGGCAGCCAGAATTTTCGCAGCCGCTCGTCACCGCACTGCAGCTTTGCATTGTCGCTGTGCTGGAGTCCTGGGGTGTCGCACCTAGCAGCGTCATTGGCCACTCGTCCGGCGAGATTGCGGCCGCATATACTGCTGGCCTTCTAGACCGCGCAGGCGCGATCAAGGCAGCCTTCTACCGTGGCCGTGCAGCGGTCAATCGCAAGTCTGAGATTGAAACTGATGTCGGCATGCTTGCTGTTGGTCTTGGACCCGACGGCGCCCAACCATTCATCGAGAAATACTTGGGCAGCGCTTGGATAGCTTGCTTTAACAGCCCCACCAGTGTGACCATCTCAGGACGCAAGCCGGCGCTTGAGTCTCTGGCTGAAGACATCAAGGCTGAGGGCCATTTTGCACGGCTGCTGCAAGTCGATCTGGCTTACCACTCAGAATTGATGCATCTTATTGGTGTCGAATACAAAGACCTGTTGGATGCTGACAGCGCGTTCCACGCCTCGACGTCCTCGTCCCCTATTAGCATGTTCTCTTCAGTCACCGGCCAGAAGAAGGAAGATATCGCAGATGGCGAGTATTGGAAGACGAACATGGTCTCTCCTGTCCGCTTCAGCGAGGCCTTGACGGAGCTTATCAAAGAAGATTCGCCAGACATGATCATCGAGATTGGGCCTTCCGGTGCTCTGGCAGGTCCTGTCTCCCAAGTGCTCAAGCCTTTGCCGAGCGGTGCTAACGTGGCGTACGCTGCCGCTTGGGCTCGAGGCGCCAAAGCAGGCGAGGCCCTCTTTAACGTATCCGGTCGTCTTTTCATGGCTGGCGCTTCAATTGACATGTCTGTTGTGAACCAGTACGACAAGAGCACATGCCGCACCATCACTGACTTGCCCAATTACTCCTGGAACCATACCATCAAGTACTGGCATGAGAACGCCGCCAGTCGAGACTGGCGTTTTAAGCAGTTCATCACTCACGACCTTCTTGGATCCAAGATTCCCGGTACCTCGTGGGAGTCATCAACAACTTGGCGCAAGCATCTCTACCTTGACAATGTGCCGTGGCTTCGTGACCACAAGATGGGGCCTGACGTTTTGATTCCCGGTGCTGGTCTCGCGACGATTGCACTCGAAGCCATGTACCAGAAGCATTGTGCCCTACACCCAGACCAACAGCTAGAGGCCAATGACCTGTGTTACCGATTCCGAAACGTCAAGTTTGAGCGCGCTGTGGTTGTCGAGGAGAACAAGCCGACTACTATAATGTTGACGCTGTCGAAAGTGCCGGGCAGCAAAGACTGGCACGAGTGGCGCATCCAAACCTACGCTGATGGTGTGACGTCTGACCATTGTGGCGGCCTCATTCGCGTCCAGGAGCCCCTCGGCGATGACGAAGCCCTCACAGGTGCAGATCTGGTGCCTTTGAAGCACCCTCAGTCGGCCAAGCTTTGGTACAAAGCACAGCGCGAAGTGGGAATGGGCTTCGGTCCTTCGTTCCAGAAAGTCAAGTCATTCGAGACAGTCAGCGGCAGCCGCAAGTGTCGAGCACTCGTGGATCTAAACCCGCCCGAGTCGAAGTGGAAGCCCGAATCCTACTATCCGCTGCATCCTGCCACTCTGGACTGCTTGTTGCAGACAGCCACCCCAGCAAATGCTGCCGGAGAGCGAAGCTTGATCAAGGACACTATGATTCCCCATCTCGTCGATGATATGATCGTGAACAGGATGCCCAAGGGCATGACTGAGGGTTTGGCCGTTGCCGAGTCGATATACACGGGTCGTGGCCGCCAGGATGTTGCCAAGAGCTGGATCGCCAACATCGACATTCACGACCCCGCGACTGGAGCACCCATCCTCAAGGTCAAGGGCTTGAACTATATCAAGCTCGACACCGACGAAAAGCCTGACCCTCACGTCTTCCAACGTGTGACTTGGAAGCCGGACATCACGCTTCTTACACAGGACCAGCTTTCCGTTCTTTCGGCCAATTCAGCTGGCCCGCTTGACACGGTTCTTGACCTGATTGCCCACAAGAATCCCACCCTCAAGGTCCTTGAGTTGAATGTAGATGAGTCCGACAGCTCGACGCTCTGGTTTGCCGGCGAGGACCAGGCGGTGCGTGCGGCTTACACGCAGTACGATTTTGCCAGTGCTGATGCCAAGACGCTGGTAACTGTCACGAGCGCCAACGAGTCGAAGAGAGACACTGCCTTCCATCTCATGAACGCATCAAAGGACGGTCTAGACTTTAGCACCGAAACCAAGTATGACCTGGCAATTGTCAAGGCACCAAAGGGCAAGGACGAAGTCTTGGCCCAAGTACTTCGTAACCTGCAAACTCTCCTCGCTCCGCATGCAACGGTCACCCTAGTCCGTCAAAAAAGCGAGCTACACACGAAGCTTGCAGGCGTTGTGAATAAAGTGAAACCCACACAGACA